ATATTTTTATCCCAGAACAGCATATCAAATATATCCCAGCACCTGCTTAAAATTGCGAAAGCGTCTTGTCAGCCTTTAATAAAATTTTAAATTCGATATTTTGAATATTACTACCACATAAGTATTTGTTGTTCCTATAATACAAATGTCTGTCATTATAAGTGTCTGACGATGTATGACTTATGTTAATGAAATTATCTTTAATAATTTAATTAAGCATGAAAATTAACGACAATAGGTCAAAAAGCGCTGGATATTATGGAAGAAACTGCCACTAAGAACCTCGTAATTTTTAGACCGCTATATATTTTCGAATTCCAATGAAAGCATTTAATTTTTTATGGTATTTGTAGGAAAAAAGGATCCCTCTGCCGTAGTATGCAGAAATTCACCCAGGAATTCGGTAATCTAAAAAGCTCCGCAGTACTCATCAAATCTACTAGAACTATATGAATAACCACAAACCTATCTACACAAATCGCAAGACGCAGCGCGGGAAAACATATTTTCACTACAATTTCGAGAATTTTCGGGAATTTTCTACACGATGTTACGGATAACCGCCAAAAGCCTTCAGCCGAACCAGACGATGCTGACAGCGCAGACGACGAAGTGCGAAATCACACCCGACCGCGCAGAAGCGCTAAAATTTTCACGCATGTTTTCAAGATTTCCCGCCATTCCGAAACGAAGCCTCCAAAAGTTATCAGCCGTATCAGACGACGTTGACCACGCATGTCCCTCATCGCTCAGAAGCCCTTGACAGCGCAGAAAGCCCCGAAAATCTTCCTTTTTCGAGTTTTGGCAAAATTTTTATACATCCAATTCGACACTCAAACTACAATACTGTCTTAGAGTCACAATTAATCATAATAACTTTCAGTGCCATAATCTTTTGGAGATGCCCATAATCTCTAGTAGGGCCTTATTCTAAAATCTAGGATCCCATCTGGAGACAAACAAAAGTTTGCTATACATCTTCGAAATTCAACAAACAATTGTGTTTTTACATTATCTTTTGAAATCGCAAAATATTTTTCTAAAATTTTGGTTTGTACTATTTTTTCTTAGATAGAAAGATACAAAACATATGAATAAAATATCCCGAAATACTTTTAAGACATATCTGTTGTCCCCATTTAGGGGTAGGTACATCTCCTTTATTATTTTTTAATGCAGTATTCGCACTGAAAATACCTGCAGATAATTTAAGACCACTTGATTTCTAGTTAGTAGTTATTTATTGTATAAGTGTTTTAAGCAGCATTTTATCCACGCAAGAATGTTTAAACACGAGAACGTAGTTCGAGCGTTTAATATTCTTAAATTGATAAAAGTCAATTAAAACATTAATGCAACACAACGTTCTATCCATAATCACGTCACAATCGTACTTATGGAGTCAGAATTATTGGAATTTAATAAAGAAATATTCGCACGACTTGATATTTTTTACTAGTACTCAATGAAAAGTGGTAGGTTTTGTTATACCTACTAGTTGCTATGGCCCGTTGTTTATTATCAATTATTCAATTTGGTAAAATTGTAAGAAAGTAATTGTGTTCCAGTGGCTGTTTTTGAAGAAGCTCAAGAAGCAATTTTCCATTTATTGGCAGCGAAATCCAGGGAACATTGCGAAAGTGTTCGCCGAATTTAACGAATGAAGGGAAAAACTGAGAGTAATGACAATAAATGAAGAAGTCTTGCTATCGTATTTTTTAAATTTGAAGAAAAAGTATACAATTTCATCTATGTGGTCGAAGTATTCGATGTTGAAGGATACTATAAAGGTCTACAAAAATATAGATATATAGATTTGAAGAGTGAATCGAGAGGATACAAAGCAAAAAAGCTGCAGTATTGGAAAGACTCACCAACGAATTGTAACCACTTTGTATGTATTTGATTGCGAATGTACATAAATAAATCAGATCTTCAGGAGGCACAGATTTCTATTGGTCGAATTAATATTCCCGCCTACCTCCGCATTTCGATGATTGACGGTGACATCTGTCAAAGCAAAAGTGTGTAGCCGCTATTAACGTATATGAGTTTATTTGTGTTTAGTGTGGCATTTTCCTCTTATTGTTGTGTAGTTTTTATGTATGGACGTTTATTTAGTGCTAATCATGGTTAGAAAGTGTTTTATTCGTAAAGTTTTATTTAAAAATGGCGAGCAGCGGTCTCTTCACAGGTAAGTAAACAAGCAACATAGGCGGCGTTTGAGGAATTACATAAGGGTATTTTACATTTAGTACTTAATTAGCAGTGATAAAATACTGACTAAATCATTATCTAAATTATTATGACATGGATAGTCCAAAAAGAGCAAGAAAAAATTGGAGTATTTGTAAGAAAAAAATAAAATTGCAAACAAAAGATCCGAAGTCTGCAGCAGGCAAAGGGTCGTCTAAAAGCCAAAATTTGTAGCTTTAATTCTCTTCTGAAATTTTTGAAAAAGAAATATGACAACAGAAACTGCTCAATGTATCATTCATGTAAGTTGAAAAATACTTATCCTTTCTGTGTTTGTAAACAATATGTATTTTTAGGAATCAGCACCTGGAATGTTAGGTGAAATCTGTCAAAGATCAAGAAAATGACAATCTCGTAAAAAGTATTCACCTGAGCTTAGGTCATTTGCCTTAATGTTTTTATTCAACAGATGCTTATTCAAGAAGTTTTAACATGGCTTTGTCACATACAAAAACAATTTCTAAGTGGTACAGATCTATAGACGGAACACCTGCATTTGCAAATGAAGCATTGGCTGCTGTTAAAATGAAAGTAAGAGAAACAAACAGTGAAATTTTGGGCAATTTGGTATTTGACGAAACGTCTAAAGTGTTAAGTGGAATGGGAAACGATTCATTGGATATATTGATGTCGGCACTGAAGTATATGGGGATAATATTTCAGAATCTACGGAAGCCCTTATTTTTATGGTTGTAGCTATAAATAGTCATTGGAAAATACCTGTTGGGTACTTCTTGACAAACGGTTTAAGTGGTGAAGAAAAAGCTAATTTGTTTAAAAAATGTTTAGTATTTTTAAGTGAATTATCAAAATAGTTTCTGTTACTTTTGACGATGCTCCTTCAAATATTAAATTACGGCTTTACCATAAATGTTAATGTTAATATTAATAAGTAGGTAGATTGTAAGTTTGTAGCATTTTAGGTTATTTGTTGACTTATTACTGTTTCAAATTGGTTTTCTAATAAAAACTAGAAAAATAAACCAAACATTTGTCTTTTTACGATTTCTATAAGTCATTAGTGGGTTTTATAAGTCATAGCTATGACTTATAACTCACTAGTGACTTATGACTTATAACTCTCTAGTGACTTATAGGCCACCTTATTCCTTTAAAACCAAAGAATTTATAGTATCATTGTATACAAGTGTTGGATAAAAGCATTTAATTAATCAGTATTTACTGATGTCAAAACAATTTGAGTATAGTCAAAACAGTTTATTAATTTTACTTCAATTTTTACCGTCTCATTATATCTCCAATATGTAAAAATTATTTATAAAATGAGTAATCCTTTCAAATGTGTATTGGTATTTTGTAAATTTTAATATTTTGCCTTTTTGACAGTACGCAACTGCCGTTGTGTCTCATTGTTTACATTTGACACTATCTATCTTTATTTATTAGGTAGTTCTATGTTTAGATGTTTGCTACAGTTAAAACACATGTATAAGAATACACAAAGCTCCTTCTAGTGGCTAGAATTCGTTGAGACACATATTGAAGAATTTTTGATGGGGTTTCCGATAAGAATATTTAATGATATCTCTTTCCCTTTGAATTATTTGAATTTCAGGTTGCAGTAACAATGGGGGTTTCTGGTGCCTGTCGATGCTGTGAATTGACAAATTTGAAAATTAGTGACGTACAGTACGTTGGCTACTACCTACTTGTTTCAACTCCAAGACGGGCATTTCAAGAATATTTACAATTATAGAAGAAGGATTTTGCGTGAATGCTATTGAAATATGCAGAAAATATATTTCTCTGCGCCCAATTCGCCTAACACAAGACAGATTATTTTTAAGATACATCAATCAAAAATATAGTTCTCAGCCTGTTGAAATCAACACATTGGTGAAGGTACAATCAATAGTTGCCTCATTCCTGAATATAGCAAATCCAGAAGCATATGCTGGCTATTGTATAAGGCGCACTTCAACAACTTTATTGGCCAATAAAAGTGGTGATTTTACAACCATCAAATGGCATGGTGGATGGAAAAGCTTCTCTGTAGCAGAAAGTTATGTTGAGGAGTCTATATCTAACAAACATGATATTGCAAGGAAAATATAGCTGTTCCTTACAAAAAGAGACATCTGTAACTTGTGCAAATTCTTTACAAACCTCGGCAGATGTTATGTGTTCCGAAAATGATGGCAAGAATGCTACAAGGGTTGGTATTAACGGAAAGGAAGTTAGGTGCGATGAAACAAAAAACAAAATGTCTATTACTATAAATGTAAATATTAATTATTTATTCATTATTCTACTAGAGAAATAAAGTTACTATATTCCACTAGTGGATAAAGTCTCACTTTAAACGGTTCATATGTGTGGATAAAAGTCCGGTTATAAGGTGGTTGTGGATAAAAGTTTTTTAATCATTAAATTTAGTAAAACAATTATATTTTAAACATTGGTTCATGTTAATACTCTGTCATGATTTTAAGAAATAATGTGTTTATTCAGAACCTTTTATTTTGTATTTAAGTTATTTGGACCAGATGTCAATTTTGCTGTTAAAATAGTCCGCAAGAATAGAACACCTTCACATAATAACCCATAATTTATTCACGTATCCTAACTTGGTCTGAGCTGTCGAAATTAAAGCATTTAGAAACTCTTATTCCCGAAGAGCCCGAATAATTAACAATGTAACTAACCCAAGGTATTTCCCATTAAGGAGCCATTTAGGCACTAAGCAACTAATTACTGTGCATATAAATCATTCAGGTACTTACCTCGTGCATTACATTCCAGGCGTAGCACAAACTGACCGGCCACAGGGGTTTATAATGGTTGCCAAAGGTGTACATATAGATGAACCAAGGGGATGGTACGAGTAAGGTAAACATATCACAGAGGGCCATGGCCATAAGCACCACGTTCGTTGGAGTTCGCATGTGCCTTTTACTTAAAACTACTACAATTAGAGTATTCGCAACTATGGTTATCACCAGCAGGAAGGGTACAATGTAGCCGTAGAGGGGTACAGCGTAGGCGATAGGCATCTCTTCTGTAATATTCATGTACTGTAAAGGGATAATTGTAGAGTTCGTTTCAAATTCCATCGGCAAGTACGTGGATGACAGGTCCGTGCTTAGGGTAGAGTTGATTTCCTCCATTTTCTGGACTATTGTTCCACTACCTCAATCTTTGCTTTTAAGGATTTCGTTAATACGAAAATAATTCTGTTAAGAAATCACATATTGGCACCTTAAAATAAACGTTTTACGGAACTGATCCGCCGCCAGTGTTCACATCTTTGATGGCATTGTAAGAAGTTAAGTAGTAAAACTTTTCCAGACGGCGCTCTCCTTAATAAGGTAATTTAGGGGTGGAGCTAATTTCCTTAATGCGATGAAAACTTTCTCCTTTCTATATTTATTAGGCTGTCTTGATTCGAATCTGATTATTTCCAATTATTTCCTTTCTTAATTATAGCGGCGTTAAAATTGAACAATGGTAGAAGTAATTGGGGCGCTGCATTTTCCTTCCAGTTGCCTTGTTGATCTAGAAAAAAGAAAATTCCCGTATTACTATAAAAATCCAACTTTGTTAGTCCATACAAAAATATAAATCACGGTGAATTAGAAGTGTTACGATTATGGGGTAAAAAATCTATTATCAAATACGTCCAAAAGAAATTGATTTAAAATATTTTCAAGTTTATTGTCTTCTTTTCGAAATTTCGCTTACATGTATAACCTATGTTGAAAATACACTTTTTAGATACACTGTTAAACCCTTCATAAGTTTTGTTGCAACTTTTTTTGTCATTATAAGGAAAACAAATACACAAACCGGAGGTCAGTATCTTTTTTCGTTTTCAAGTTATTGCTAAAATAATGTGAAGTTGTGTTAGAATATCTCCCTTTATTTAATTCTCTAAATAACATTGACATAGTCCAAGAGAAAATTAAATTGTAAAACTATACAGAAAAGTACCTTGCTATATTTTGAAATTCTTTTGCTAACTGCAATGTTTCATTTTTTTATTAATTTCAAACATGTCAATACTTATAAAGATTACTGTTTCCATAACGAGGCAGGCTATGTCCTATGAAAATAGACAAATGATAAATTATGTCAAACGACATGTGACAGCTCTTGCTTCATGCAAAATTAGTGTCATTTTGTGATAAAAGTACTTCCCAGAGCTCTCACTAATTCCCTAACACTTATTTGGGGATTTACTTGGACACAAGCTCACACATTATAGTTATTTACACCATAACAAGTCAACAATTTTCTCGTTCAGGCACCCGATAACTTATATTTGCTAATGAAAGTAGTGACGGTCTTAGGCATTGCAGGAGCATGAGTTATGCAAACTTACTTTGGAGAACGTCAACTTCCAAAATTGCATAGTTTTTGAAACTAGAACATCCTGAAACATATACAGAAAATTAATTCCGAAGAACATCGGCAACGTTACTGGATAATACAGGAGATGTATTAGCAATCAAGAGGCATGGTGGGTGGAAATCTGCCACAATTGCAGAAAGTTATGTTGCTGACAGTTTAAGCAACAAAAATGAAATAGCCAACAGGATTCTTTACAATGACACTTCAACTCCAGGTTCTAGTAGTACGTCGCATCATGCTGTTTTAATGAATCAGTCAAATAATATTTAGCCTCCTTCGTACTGGCGTTGCTATGGTAATAACAAAAAACAAGTTCAAACAAAACTTGTGAAGGGTTTAACAGTGTATCCAAAAAACGTATTTGCAACTTAAGTTATATAAGCGAAATTTCGAAAAAAAAACGACAATTTTCTGTTAACACTAGCAGTCGCGCCCCCTAACGGTGAAGTTACAAAATTGAAAATATTTTAAATCGATTTCTTTTGGTCGTATTTGTTAATAGATATTTTACCCCATAATCGTAGTACGTCTAGTTTCCTATCTACAGACGCTCCGTATAGGAAAAATATTCAAAAAGGTGTACATTAAAAAATTCGGAGAGTCATATACCTTCTATTTAAAATTGCATTCGCCAGTATCCTTGATCCGGATAAAGCAAAGCAGCACATTAACTTTTGTATGGGCGCTGCAATATCTGTCTATATCTGGAATCTGCATTCCAGATTTCCAATAAAAGTATTGCTTTCATCTCATATCAGACAAATATGAGAAGTCAAACTTTATATGCAGTAAAGATTTCTCTAGATAGATTGTAAAGTGCATTTACAGAAAATTTAATCTAATAGAGACATATTTTCAAGTTAATGGTACTTTACAAATATCCTGTTTATTTATCTAGAAAATGTTCACATCTTAGGAAAATATCTGCACGAGTGGCTTTCCTCTGAATCTAGAGGCAGGTACTTATTTTTACTTGACGGAGAAAGACGTAAAAGCGAGACGACAGGCCCCTTTATGAAAATAGATATAAAATTTTTAAATCTTGAAATATTCATAAATTGTAATAAAAGAAAATATATACTGTAAGGCGAAAGAGCGTAAATCTGCATCTACGTATTAAAAGCATATTTTTAAAGGTTATGCCTCATAAAATTGAAGAATAATTTATCACCTGAAGTAGGTATACAAAAAATGTGTTAAAAATCAGTATTTAAATATTCTAATGGCTTTATAAATCAAAAGAAATGTGTATTCGTTGAAAATCATAGAATGTACATATTTCAAGAAATATATTGAAATGAACACACTGTATCTCAAGACACAACACCGAGAAATAGCATAGAAAATTTTCATGAAATTATAATGTAGAATAAAATAAAGACAAAGTACTTTTAAAGTAAAATAAAAAGTTCATTTCATAGTTATTTTATATATAAACTAAAACATTATCAGTCAAATTTTAAATAATACGTTTTAATGATAAGCATGTCAAGAAAATAAATTTTGGGTACGAAGTAGAAGCATTAAAGTAAAAGACAATGCCACAAGAAGGGCCAATTTAGAGATTTTATGAGTAAATTAATGTTAAATAATCTAGTACAAAAGAAAGTTCAAATATTATAACATCAGAAACACATAGGCTAGAAGTTTCTTATAAAAAATTTGTCATGCAAAATATCATATAAAAATTTCTTGTAAATTAGTATTAAGACGTATAAAATCTACTACGCAGTTATAAAATATAAATTACGCCGTAAGTTAATTAAAATCAAATTCATCGCAACATGCTGGAGAAATTGCGCAGTTAGAAAATGATAACAGGGATACGAGCAACCAATGGCGAAAGAACAAATCAGTGAATTTACCTGGTACCGGAAAAACAAAAAAACATCGAGGGAAGTCAACAAGCTGAGAGAGAGGCAGAAGGAGATTCTAGAGACTGGTGAGGGGTGCATGTTGTCCTGTGGCTCCCCAAACAACATCAAAAACACCAGGAAGCACTCTACACAGACCCAACAGCCATCCTCAACGCCCGAGAATAGCAGACAAATGACAACAATAAAGTGAGGTTATGGAGACGACCGCAAATTGCCAGCCAGAACGAAACCAAGTAAGTCCAGTTGCATAAGAGTTTTCTCCATGCCATAAAGTGTTGCAAATTCGAACTATAAAAGCTATTTGTGAAATACAAAACCCGTTACAAACTATAAACAATGTCAGTGATTAAAGTTTAAATTGACATTTTTGAACATTCTATAATTTAAGTATTAGTTTAATTTCAAATGTTCGTAGTATAAGTTAATTTGTTTGAAAAACGTTTAAAATAATGATAATTGGTTAACCAAACATTTTCTCAATTATGATAGGTAGAATAAGGCATTTCTCAGACAATTATTCATGTAAAAGTATATAAAAAAAATATTCTAGTTTCTGTGTTCATAAAAATATTGTTCGAAATTGAAAGATAAATAAGTAATAAATGTCATCTTGTGTAAATATTTCCAATTTTGCTTTTATTCAATGTTTCTTACCCAAAATTAAATAGTAAAGGTTAATTAAAAGAGCATAGAACCGCCCCTATGAGGTAAGGACTCATGCTATTGATAAAATAAAGTGTTTTTTCTTGAGGGACAGTGTAGAAAATGAACATTCCTATCTACACTAATAAAATCCTGTCTACACTGTGAACATTATTTATACAAAGTAAAGCTGCCGGAGGCGATGTTAGCAATGATAAGGTAAGAAAGTCTAGTTCGTCTATGTTTGTCATTATTATTATTAAAATTTCTTATCAGAACCTACACTCAATGGAAAATTAGATATAAATACACCCAAATGACATTTTACATAAAAAAGGCGCCCAAACGGATAATTAATTCTTATACACACACAAAATTTACACACCAGAAACAAAATTAATCACCAAATTAAATAATAATTATAATATAATAAAAATAAATAAATAAATATCAAAATAATAAAATAACCCCTACCAATCACCAAAAATTACATAAGAATATACAACTCTTGTTTAATGGCAGAAGTAGGTACATCATCATTTAAAAACGTGGAAAAGTATGTTACTATTATGATTTACAACATACATTTTAATTGTCGGAAGATAACAAAGACAAATACATCTGTAGTTGGCATATGAAAAATATGGATGTAATTCTTTAGTATTTGCAAGAGGATGTCCTGAAAAGTTTCCTGGTCGACAAATTTCTCATCTTGTACTTTTGCTCTTTTCAAGAGAATACACTCGTCCACGTTTTTTAAGGAATGTAAATATAGAAGAAGCTATCTTAAATACTGCTGAAGAAAATCCACACGAAATTGTAGGAAGAATTTCTGTCGAGTTCCATGTTTCAAACTCTACAATCCACAGAACATCAAAAGAATAACAATTATGGCCTTTTCACATAAGTTCAAGTAATTTTGCCCCAGGATAACTGTACTAGACTATCTTTTTGTAACTGGTTCAGGAATATGACGAGTCATGTTTTACAAAAAGTGAAGGAATAAATCTACACAGTAGTCATGCATGGAGTGACGATAAATTCGAACATAAAATTGTGTACCCTTCCCAATATCAATTTGCTATTAATGGATGGGCTAAGATTATCGGTGATAATATATTACGACCTGTTGAGTTGCCGCCATGTTTAAACGATGTTCAGTATCCAAAATTTCTTAGAACAAACTTCGCCAGATCTATTGGAGGATGTGCATTGAATATTAGAAGACACCTCGTGGTTTATGTATGATGGTGCACCACGAACACTACACTCACTGTGAGGCAGTTCCTTCATAACCATGAATTATTGTAAATAGACCTCCTAGGTCACCCGATCTGAATATTTTAGATTTTTTTGACGATTTATGAACGGTAACATTATTATGCATCGGTACAAATTCGCCAGGAACTATGGACACGAATTGTGAAAGTGTCTAATCTCGTTCGACAAGATACTGGAGTTTTGTTAGGACATGGGAATGGTTTCCTCGACATTACACAGATGAAAATGCCTGACACATTCAGTATTTGCTATAATATTCTATTTATTTAATTGTATACGTACCTATTTTATTTACTTACGCATTTAATAATTTATCATTTATGAATAGTTGATTAGGGAACATTA